TATGTAGGTTGTTGCGTCGAATTAGTTGCTCGGCCGTGTGGCCTTCGTTAGTATGACAGGCGTCCTCCACAGGAGGGGTCTTTGTCGTCGAACAATCACTCAGTTCATTATTACTAGTCCTTTCTCTCCTTGTTCTTTCAAGGTCGCCAGCTCCGCCTTCAGCGCCCTCCATTTCATTCTCTCTTGTACTGAGTAATCCGGTTGAAAAAAAAGACCTCTATGGCCAGGGATCCCCCCTACTGTTCGTTCAAGTAGAAGATCCCTCTGGAGTTTACTTTCTAAAACTATCTTTAAAGGCCTTGGTTTCAGCCCTTGAGAGCTCGCGCTATCTTTACTGTTTAGTCGGAAAAGTTTCAGAATCTTAATGGCTTCATCTTCTTTTATTATGCTATCCAGACACCCTTGCAAGGTCATGATATCATCATTTATCCTACATCTGGGGTTATCGTTCGTTGATTCACGAAGTCCATGGACGACTATGCATTGTGATCTGTCCACAGCACCTCCATTCGACGAATTTTGTTGAATAATTGGTCTGACCGATGATGATGAGGCTTCCCCAAGTTGGGCTTCGACGCTAGTTGCAGGAATATTCGTGAGAGTATGTACTTTCACTCCCACTCTGGGTTCATTTTTATTCGGCCCTGTGTTGGTCGACGCTCTCCTCCCACTAGGCTCAGGAGGTGCGCATACTGTCTGGGGACTGGTTTCCTCTTTCGTCGGTCCATCTTTATCATTTTCCTCCTCGGCCCTTGGTTTCTTTTCTGGCAAGTCTGACACCATCGCCTTCGGATTTTTGCTACCTTTCTCCATAGTCTTTCCTGTCGCCTTTTTCTCATTCTTTACTGATTTTGGAGGTTTCACGTCACCACTGATAACTGGAGTCTGATACTGCTTATACTGGGTGTCTCGCGCTCTACTCCTCGTTACCCTGTGCGTAGATGCTGCCAACTTATCCTCTGTCATGAAGGTCTGCTGGATGAAATTCTTCATATTTTTAACTTCTTCCTCTAGTTGATTTAACTTTGAGGCTAACGTTTGACAACCGCTGCAAGAGGTTTTCACATGCGTCGGTCGTAACCAATTTGTAAGGCTTTTAGAGGGTGGGAAAATCGACAACCTGAGTCCACATCCCAACATCCACAGCCTCAAGAAAGTCTTCGAACCTTCTGGGGCCTGAAGGCGGAGACCAGCGGACTTCGGGGAGATCAAAGTCCCCCGCAACCAATTGATGCTTAAAGT